GACCTGGGAGATGTAAGACAAATAAACCCTTTCCTCCCCAAGTTGGTATTGGTCAAAGTATTTTGTCACAGCAATGAAGAAAAACTAAGACAAAACTGTAACCTGTTTCCTCTTCAGTCTTCCATGTTGTCCTCATCTGCTGGCCCATACCAGGTGCTGATGTGTTTGCTGAGTGGGCTCCCCTCCCACCCCAGGCTTGGGACCTGAAACTGTGCACCCTTACCTCAGGCTTTCAGAGAAGGCCTCCAGGCCAAACTTGGAGACACAGTAGCCCCCTCCATTGGCTGCCAGGTGACCCAGGACACTGGTGATGTTGACCACCCGGTCCTGGGCCTGCTGTAGCAGGGGCAGCAGTACAAGGGTCGCCCCGATGGGACCCAATGTGTTCACGTTCAGCCCTCGATGGAAATCATCTCTTGTCAGCCATGGTGTGGGCCCAGTTGATACCAGCCACACCAGCATTATTCACCAGACCAAAAAGCCCTGTGGGGAGATGACAGACACAGGGTGGGAGGGTTGAGGTGAGACTTTCCCATGTCTCCTTTCCCAGAGGATTTGAACAGTGTTCTCCCTGAAGCCCCTGTAAGCGACTCCTGGGGCTGCCATGCAGACCAGGTTCCACACTCACCTGCTTCCCCAACGTGTGTCTCTACCCACTTGGCAACCTGCTGGACACTCTGGGGATCAGTAATATCCAGCAGGGCTGTGTGGAGGCGGGAGGAGGCCATCTGCTGTAGGTCTTCTGCCCCAGAGGGGGTCAGGCAGCTGGCCAGTACTCGGAAGCCCCTCTGGTCCAGTCACAATGCCAGAAGGTGTCCAAAGCCTGAGTCACAGCCCGTGATGAAGATGAAAGCATCGCTGGCAGGCAGGCTCTGCCAGTCTCTGAGCAACCACAGCACTGCCCACAGCAAGGCTCCCAGCAGCAGAGGCAGCCACATGGCTGGACCTGGTGCTCTGCAGGTGGCAGCCAAGGCTGGGCAGGAAACTTGTCATTTACCGTCCCTCAAGCCCTAACATCTTAGCTAGAAGAGTCTGGTCTGAGCAGATTGAGAAACTATCTGCTTGGCAGATGACTGGCAAGTTACAGCTTATTGTGCAAAACAGATGTGGGTAAACACTGTCTTTGTGGCTAATGAACTAAAACCAATGAGCAGGTCTCATGTAGACCTGCCATGTGGGAGCAGAGGGACCAGGTTTGCCATCATACCTTCTCTCTAAACGAGGAACACCTAAACTCTCTAAATGCACCCCGAGACTTATTTTTGGAACCATATATGGGCCAAGAGCTCTGTGTTTCAGGCCTGGTGGCCTTAAACTTGCTGTAAGATGCTGAGCATCTTCAGTTTATATCTGAACTTATTTTTCCATTTACCAAACTGGGTTAATACCTACCAGAACTACCTCAGTGTTGTGGCAGATCAAAGGGATAATGTGTGAGGACAATACTCAAAGCTTAAAGCTTGTGCTATCGACATACATCATCCTATCTAGTCTCATAGCACCCTCTGCTCCCGACACCCCACTTACCTCCTCTGGGGAAAGCTGTCAGGTATTATTACAATGTGTGAAGTTACTGCTTTTGCTTCTGTTGAATAGACTTTGCTTCTGGTCTGCCCAGGCTCCACACAAGTTACAGCTAAGACCAAAGTCTGGAGTGGGTGGACTCCTGTGTGGAGCAGGAGTGTTAAGTGTTTGTGTAATTGGGGGAGGGGGTGGTGCTGAGGAGGAGGAGCCAAGAGGCTGGAGCTTATCTGGCTGACAGGAATTTCTGGCAGGTCAGCTCTGCACAGGCCCACTCTGGGTTTTCTCAGCCTGGGCTGCTGACCTGGAATAGATATTCCTGTGTCTCCCAGGATGTGGGAACTGCCAAGGGTGGCAGCTGCCTTTCTCTGTGGGTGGTCTTGGACCTGTCATTCTTTCTCAGTCTTAAAATGACCCCAAGAATTAATCTCTCATCTGGCCCAGACTCATGACACTGCTTAGTGCTAGCCTGGGAGAAGCCATGAGCACATGATGAGCCAGAGCCAGAGCTGGGGACCAGATCTGTGCCCAATCTTAACACTCCTCTTCAGGAAACTGAAGTTCAGGAGTGGGAAGCTTAGAGCAGAGGCCACTCAGGTTTCTGTGGAGCAGTGTGGGAAATTTGCTCCTTCTGTTTAGCCAAAAGGCATCTGCACCAAGGAAAAGGGCTGGGATATAAGAGGAAGTACATCCGTCCTCTACCAAAAGGCAGTTGTCCCACAGAAAAACCTCTGTTCACTACCACACCCCATAGAACAGAAGTTGTATTTTATTCATGGCCCATCAGTCTTCCTCCAGTCCCTGTGGGTGAGGTGAGGGGTGGGATGGGGAGGGAGGCTAGGAGGGAGCAGACTGCAGTTGCCCTTTGTAGATGTATTCCAGTGCAGTGGCAATGGTGCGCATATCCAGCTCGATGCTCCGAGCCCAGTTCTCCACATCCCCGATTTCCTGGGAAGAGGGAGAGAAGGTTGGAGGCCACGAGTCAGGGTGGGTAGATTATGCTTCCTAGTCTTGAGATCACTAACTTGGATCCACCAACTGCTTTACTTTTTGTTTTGTTGTAGGGTCTTGCCATGCTGCTCAGGCTGGATTCAACTCCTAGGCTCAAGCTACTCCTGCCTCAACTCCTGGACTCCAGCCTCCAGAGTAGCTGGTACTACTGTACATGTACATACCGAGGATTTTTCTGACTCCCCGCCAAGGGAGGGGTTTTCCTTTTCAAACCCGGGGTTTTTTTGCCCCCCCCCCCCCCCCCCCCCGCCCAGTGCTAAGGATTGATCCCAGGGCTCTAAGCATGCTTTGTGTCACTGAACCATATCCCCAGCTCCAGCTTTTATTTCTCTTTTTTAAGCTTTTCTGACACCCGGGCCTAGATCTGGGACTATCTCCACTTCTTCCTTAACCCTGAGTCTGAGATGACCAGACTGGAGATAGCTAATTGGGCTCAGATAAAGGCAATGTGTTGAGTGTGCCCACCTTAAGTGCCTGGTTGAAGTTCTCCACCATTCCGATCCACTGGCCAGTCTGCTTGGCAAACTGGGCAGCCTGGACCTGTAGAGTCTTCACTTCATGGTCTAGTTTTCTCTGGTTCATGTAGGCCTGGGCCACACTAAGGATTGGAGGAGGGGAGGAGATCAGCTCAGCCAACTCATGGGGAGTGGTCTTCAGGGCTAACAGTCTGTTACAGTGGAGGGAGATCAGCCAGGAGTCAGGGCTGGGGAAGTCTTGGGATTCTTGCCTTTCCTGGATGAATGCAGCTCCTTCCTCTGCTCCCAGGGTTCCCAGGAGATCCAGGTTGGGAGCTAACTAGAAACATACCACCTCTTATCCCCTAAAGGAGTTTCTGCAGTTGAGAGTGGGTAGGGAAGTTAAACTGGGGCGACATCCCTGAGGAAGAAGCCGGGAGGGAAAAGGGGGCGTGGGAAAATCTAGCAGGGCTGGAGAGATGGCTCAGTGCTTAAGAGCACCGGCTGCGCTTGTAGAGGCTCCCGGTTCAATTCCTAGCACCCACATGGCAGCTAACGACTGTCTTCTGACCTCCTCAGGCATTGCACAACACATGCCGGCAATACACTCATAAATAAAATAAAAATAATTAAAAAAACAGAGAGGCTATTCCAAGAGTTATTGGCTTCCTACAGCGCCCCCCCCCCCCGCCTTTTTTGAGACCTCCCTGTAGCCCCAGCTGGCCTGGAACTTGCTATGTAGACCAGGTTGGTCTTGATCTCACAGAGATCTGCCTGGCTCTGCCCCCTGAGTGTTGGGATTAGAGGCCAACCATTACGGGTCCTCAGGGTTAGCACACAGAAGCTGTGGTCCAGAGGGGCCCCAAGGCTCTAATTCACATTGAAAGCAGTACTTGGTATGTTTAAGAGTCTTCTACATGATACTGGTGTTTAAGGAGTGAAGGGGTTGTGGAAAGAATCTGAGGCTTAGCACCTTGAGAGGCCTGGAGGCTACTGGTGAAGGTGCAGCCTCTGCCTGCAAAGGAGACTGCAGTATATGGAAGATTCGAGGACTATGGGATGTCTACCAAGGGCAGTGGCAGGTGTGGTGTGAAGCCAGCCTGCGTCTGAGACAAGTGCATGTGCTGTGGATGGCAGAGCCAGAGAAGTGGAGCTGCCCAATCCCTGTGGAGCCCAGATCAGGAGTGAATCCCAGATGTCTATGCTGCTGGACTTTGGTTCTGCTTAACTGTGCTCTCGTACTTCCCTTTTGAAATAAGGTACTAACTTCTTTTGCATTGTACAGGAGCCCACAGATAAGAGACTTTAAAAAATATTTTATTATTTTTATGTGTATGAGTGTACCTGCATGTATGTGGGTGCACCCATGTCATACAATGCTGTGGAGGTCAGAAGAGGGCTCCGGATTCCCCTGGAACTGGAGTTAAGGATGGTTCATAGCCGCCATGTGGGTCCTCTGCAACAGAAGTCAGTGCTCTTAACTGCTGAGCCATCTCTCCAGCCCCAAGACTTTTAAAGTATTTGAATTTTTTTGGTCAGGTGTGGTGGTGTACGTTTTTAATTCCAGCACTTAGGAGGCAGAGGCAGGTGGATCTGTGTGTGTGGATGTGTGTACGCATGTGCCACAGTGTGCATTGGAGGTCAGAGAACAACTCTTTTTTTTTTTTTTTTTTTTTTTTTTTTTTTTGGACAGGGTCTCCCTGTAGCCCCAGCTGGCCTGGATTCACTATGGAGACCAGGCTGGCCTCAAACTCACAGAGCTCCACCTGCCTTTGCCTCCCAAGTGCTGGGATTAAAGGCGTGTGCCACCACACCCGGCAAAATTTATTATTTTTTTATGCGTATAAGTGTATTACCTTCATGTAAATGCACCTGTGTTGTACAATGCTCATGGAGGTCAGAAGAGGGTGTCGGATTCCCTGGAACTGGAGTTATGGACAGTTGTTAGTGGTCATGTGGGTGCTGGGAATCAAACCTAGGTCCTCTGCAAGAGCAGACAGCGCTCTTAACTTCTGAGCCATCTCTCCAATCAAAAGTATGTGGATATTTTAGAATATGGGACTTTTAAAGTTGTACTGTTTTATATTGTGATATTAATATCAACATCTTATCTTGGGGATAAGAAATGGAAAGGTTGCTGTGTAATAGTAATGTGTTTATGTGTCAAGGTGATAATGCGTCAATAGTGCTGGAAAGCTTCAGTTGTCAACTTGACATACTGGGGTAGAAGGAATCTGTTGTGGAACTGCCTCCATTGGCTTGGCCTGTGGGCATGTCTGTGAGGCATTTTCTTATTTTGAGTGATGTAGGAGGTGCCAGCCCACTGTGGGCAGTGCCAACCCTGGGCAGGTGGGCCTGTGTTGTATAAGAAAGCAGGCGGAGCACAAGTCAGAGGAACAAGCCAGTAAGCAGTGTTCCTCCATGGTCTGTAGTTTGGTTCCTGCCCTGAGCTCCTGCCTTGGCTTCCCCTCCATGATGAACTGTAAGCTGAAGGTGAAATAAACCCTTTTCTCTCCCATTGATTTTGGCCAGTGAAAGGACACTCCGAAAGGCGCCCTTTTTTGAGACAAGATCTTATGTAGCCAAGGATGAACTCAGTTTCTATGTGGACGAAGCCGGCCTTGAACTCCAAATTGTCTTGCCTCTACCTCCCAAGTGCTGGGATTACAGACATGTAGGCATGTGTCATAACACCCAGCTCTCCCAGTCCTCCTACACTGATGAGTGAACATGAACACACAGACACACACAGACACAGACACATACACAGTTCCACTCTTCTGCTCCAGGCAATAATTCTTCTTTTTCTCTCAATCAAGGTGTGGGCTGTGGTTATTACTATCATGAGTGTTGCCTCTATCTTCCACCAGTGTCCCCCCCCCCCCCGCCCCAGCCCCCACTGTAATCACATTCTAATTGACTGATTCCCTATTCCTAAAGCTTTAGGTCAGGAAGGAGTCTCCACATCCGGTTCCCGCCCTCTGGAATGTGTGGGGGCTGAGGCGGCAAAGGGCTGAGGGGGGATGGTGTCCAAGAAAGTGGGCAGGGCACCTGACAAGGACGGAAACAGACTGAGCCTTTGTTTCATTTTCTGGGTAATAAGCGGGTCTGTGGGCAGCAACACAAAATCCTTTCTAATCTGGATTTGGCTTAGCTGCCTTCTAAGCTTAAAGTGGGGTGGCCTCTAGCAAGGGAAGAGAAAATAGAGCAGTCTGGCCAGCCTCACATACTGTAGGAAAGGAGGCGCCAATGTGGGAGCACTGGGAGAAGAGAGTTGTCTGGAGAGAAATGAGACCAGAGGATCCAACCACATTCTTTCCCCTAATCTACCCCCAAGATGAGTAACAGAGATGTCCCCAGCCCCTGCATGACTCCTTGGGGTGACTCAGTCTCTGGATTCACAACTTGCTTTGGAGTGGAAGGCAGAGTATGTGCCTCTTTTATTCCTGTAGTGTATCAAATCACCATCTGCACTCTTCTGAGTCACACAGGGCCAGGAGACCACCTTCTTTTTCCTTCTGGAATCTTTAGCTATTACTGGCATTCTCATTTAGGATTGGGGGGAGGTGTCCCTGGAGATGCAGGAGGAAGGGAAGAGACAGCCTGGTTCTGTCACAGCTCTTGACATAGGTTCTACCCTCACCTCTACCAGCTGTGCCATCTTTCCTGCCAGCTGTTCCCCAAGCTTGCCAGAGGGAGGCAGAGAAGGAAAGGGGGTAAGCTGTGGTGAAAGAGGTGGACCTCCCTCCCACTGAAGTGACAGCTGGACTTGGGAGGGTGGCCAGATGGCATCAAGTTGTGCCAGGGAAGTTAGTGTGGAGAGGGGGGAATTCTGGTTGCTTCTCCAACCACTGCAGCTGCTTTTCCCTCATGCAATGTTAGGGGTCAAAGCTGACTCAAGTCTCTCTTCATAGAGTTACACTAGGGGGAAGGGGTTGGTCAGGGGAGTGAGTGGGACACTCAACCCTGCAAGAGGATCCAAGGGCCAAACTTTGTCTAACTGGGGAGGATGGGTGGATGGCGGGCACTGGCGTTAAGGGAAGGGATTCATACCCCACATTGAGGTGATCCACCAAAGCTTCTGTCAGGCAGGTAGCTGCAGTGATAGCCTCTCGCCTCCTCTTTTCTGGGGCGGAAGAAAAGGGATTGGAGTGTAGACTTGGTAGTTGAGAGGTGGTGCTAATGGGCCCCCATCCATTCTTTACTATT